CAGGGAACAACGCCTGACAGTGCGACATTGATTTTCTGAATGAAGAGCAGTTTCGCCCCTGAGTCGCTCAGTAGCGCTTGAATCTGATTCGCATCCTGGGTAAATTCATTGTTAAGTCTGATCGAGAATGATCGCACATGCTGCTAGCAAATCCGAATGATAGGTCAAAAAGAGAAGTAAATGTCTTACTGGATGCAAACGGCGATTGAGAGGGATACAAGAAAAGTGGCGTGACGGTAGCAATTATGGAGACGATTGCCAGCTGTGAGGAACCTTTCGAAGGTTTTAGCACACAGCACAATGACATACAACCGATCGCAATGAAGAACAACGGTTGAGCTATTTCACAAATCTGAAATTGAAACACCGTTCAATTCAGTCGGTCATCAATTCAATCAATGATTTTACCTCAATCACAAACGATATTAAAATAGACATGCGCTATGTTGGTCAGCAGAAATAAAATCGCATAGTGGTATATGATTATTACTAAAAGAAATCGTACTGAAAAATGTTGTAGCCTTAACAGACAACATTCACTACAACCACATCACTACGCACGAGATTCACAGTAATATAATCACTGAAGCATTATTGCTGTGGATGAGATTCATGGGCTGCAGGGATTCCGGATACAAGAAACAGATTTTATCATCCTCAAACTATGACGAGCCATTCAGGTACAGTTTCAGTGATTGAAATTCACATCCCTTTTATTACACATATGAACAGCCTGTACTGATAAATTGAGAAAACCTGCAATGATGAAAACAATAACAAAATAATACCAGTTGAAATTTTTGCTCCCAATAGGAAACGTATTCCCAAATCAGCAATATTTTCGTCGTTTCCAATACGAGCAGCAATAAGGATAAAAGAATCTGAAATGAAGCGAGTTTTTTTAAAGAAACATTCACATCCAAAACATTTACGAGCTCATCATCTGACACTAATTGACAATATCTACCTTACAAATTATTTTTTCGTAGTTTCGAACTTTCTAATGTTTCTCTTCAAATCACTCTAGAATTTGATCTTGCGATCTATTCGTTGAAGTATGGCAAGCACTAAAGTTCCTCGGAATCAACTGTATTCAAATGGTATCTTCTTTAACTCTATCACCAACTTTGCTCGAACTGTGCATGTGATTAATTTCTTGACTCCATATGAATATTCTCTCACGGTACT